AAGTTTGTTTGGCAGAAAAAAACTAGTGGTTTTCTAAATCCTTAGATAGGAGTGGAGGATTTAGCATTAATGTTGTCTCAGTTCTAGGCATTTCACTCTCAATTAGCACTAAGGTCAAAGGTGCATCTATATACTGAATGGCCAAGAGCCCTGAAGGGTGTGTTTGTGAAAAGTTATAAAATAAATGACTGAATTGGGGAATCTGAGATATGAGAGTAGGGGCTATTATTTAAAACTGTATAAGGGGGATTCAGGGTGGAAGGAGGAGATAGCTTGGAATTATTTATTGAGTTTGCCAAAGTCAAATAAGGACCCTTTATTCTGACCCTCTAGTGTTCAAGGGAATAAGCACAGAAGTTAAATATCAGAGGGACTTCTACCTGAATTCTAGCCCCAGAGTGGGGGAAAAACAGAGTGGGAGGCTGAAGGGGAAAAAACAGAGTTAAATATTTCCTCTGAGAAATGAATAATGGACTCGGGCCCAGGACTATAATTCATGGGTGCTTAGATGAATCTCCAGATGCTTCAGCTGTCTCCACATCTAGAAAAAGATTGGCTAAGGGCTCTAGCAGTTGTGGTTGCCAGTGGATGATGGCGGCTCTGTAGGTTAACATTTGCTAAGCATTCCAAGAGGCTCCCCAAGGCCTGTGCCTGCTAGGTGTTGTCTGCTTTGACCATCTTTGTAGTATCGGTTCCATAAAGAGTGGATGGAACATATCTGGGACTTTTCAGGATCTTTCACATATAATGATAAAGAAAACATAAAGCAAAAAAATTGATAAATTGATAAATTCATAAACCTGTTTTCATGTTGCTGTATAAAACCTGATTTAAATCCCAACATGGTAAGTCAATGATTTTTAATATCTGATGTGAGGAGTTGGGAGACTTCTTCCAACCACTTTCCTTTCCATTACAATCTTGCCTAGATTATAATGCCTGCCCCTGTAACCCCTACTTCTTTCTCCTTGATTTTTTTCTTTCATTTGGGAGATCCTCCTGAATGCTGATGTTACAGATTGGCAGAGGGCATTTGGCTTCAATAATGGTGAATTATCAGGATCTGAAAGAAGTAAAATCTCCTTCCCTCTGGCCTCAGTGGCCTTTGGGGGTTGATCTTCTGCCTGGAACCTCTTGAACCTAACAAGATCAGCTGAGTACTCAATACCTGTTTTGAGAACAGTCATGAAAACCAACATAAAAGGGGATGGAGACCTACTTTTGATGAGTTTCCTGGCCAGAGTGGCTGTAGCTGAGCTTAAGGGAAAGGGTTCAATGTTAAATTATTAGCAAAGGGCAAGCAAGTTTAAAGTGAACATGCCCATACTGGAAATGGAATACATACAAGCCAAAAGGAATTAGGAAAAGAAGGAACAACCAGAACTGTATGAGTTCAATCAAGTGTCATCTACAGACAGATATAGACAAGGTTGAGCGGGCCTCCTATGCAAGAGAAATGTCTTACATAGAGATATGCATCTAGAAATAGCAGCATGAAGCCACCAAGATAAGTTAACTTAGTTAGGACCAGGTGTTCAGGCAAAGAACAAAGAGAAAAGAGTTCATGAAATGAGTAAAGAGCTGACTGGATTGCCTTAGACAAGTCATTTTATCTCTCTGGACCTCAGATGCCTCAGTTCTGAAATGAGGTTTCTGGGCTTCGGGTGTAGGTGCTAGGCTAAGGTTTCTGTCAGAGAGGTGTAGGAAATAAATTGTTATGGGAGTAGTGTGTTAGGCCCTCAATTCCATGAGATAGCCTTATTCATTTTAGAGATGAAATATTTTGCCCAAGGTTTTACAAACTGTGAGTGACCAAGCTTCAAAACAGAAGTGGGTTGATTTATTCATTCAATATTCATAGGAGTCCCTTGTGTGCCCAGCACTGGGTCAGGCCCTGTATAATAGAGGAATAACTGAGACAGAATCCCCCTCTCATTCTAGCAGGGACTGGGGAAGGCATCAGTCAATGAAAAAGTAAAAATCCAAGCAAAAAATGGTTTTAGATAAAGATAAATTCTAGGGGCTAAATAAAGCATGCCATCTTCCTGATCTGGAATGGTCTTAGGTGTTATTGAGGCAGAGGATTCAGATGCTGTTCTCTGACTAAAGACCTCCAACCTAGGATGATCCCTTCTCTTTTTTTGGGGGGTGGGTGGGTGGGTATTGGGGATTGAACTCAGCAGGGCCACTTGACCATTGAGCCACATCCCCAGCCCTATTTTGTATTTTATTTAGAGACAGGGTCTCACTGAGTTGCTTAGTACCTCACCATTGCTGAGGTTGGCTTTGAACTCACGATCCTCCTGTTTCAGCCTTCCAAGCTGTGATCCTTTCTCTTTTGATAAGGATATCCAGAGTCCAAGAATCAGAGCAGTAACTGGAAATGGGAGTGTGGATCGTGAATTCTTTGACTTGAGGGCTTTCTGTACGTTATAGCAGCATATCTTTCCATCCTAATTCCTGGCTAGGAATCTCTGGTAAAAGTAATTGGATGGAACTACAGGTTCCCAAGGGGAAAGACAAGTGTGAAATAAGACAATGAGCACAAAACTCTTGGTGCAATGTTTAGCATACAGTAAGTGTGCAATACATGCTACAGCCTTTGAGTAAGTCCAGGTGGTCAGTCTTTGTGTTCAGGGATGAGATCAGTTGGGCTGTGACAGGGGCAGTGAGACCAAAGTACTTGGATGGAGATGGGGCTTCCTTTTCCTGGACCTGTGATCTTGATTGACACCCAGGAGGCCTTCCCTGAATCCATTCATCAGAGTGAAAGTAAAATGTGTTTGGAAAATTTGTAACCTGCCATTAAAACTGCTGGGTGTAGGAAACAATTGCTTGCCCTTAGTAAGTGACTTATGATTGCTCTTGGTTGTTTGAGTTGTTCTTTAATTACAGTCCTTCTTTGAATACTCAAACATACAGGGCCTTTATAAACTAGAACTCCCTCTCTCTCACACACAATCCTCCCATATGTGTACTCTCCTTTTCATTTACAAAGTATAAACACCCAACTCTTACTCATTCACATCATGAATTTCAATTCTTCCTGCCTCAATTAAGGAGGGGCCCTAGTAGAGTTCAGTACATCTGTACTGTCTTCCTGTTCCAAGGCCCAAGGGGTTCTTCCAAGAGTGAATCCTTATGGGGAGAAGATAATGGACAGAAAGTACACTTCATTAATGGACTAGACCCAGCTTTCTCTTTTCTTCAGCACTAGAGTGGTCTACTTGAGCAGACACTTCTTTAAAAAAACAACAACTCCCCAATTCTTCCAATCTGCCCCTCTTTTGCTTAAAATCATTGCACATCCCCTCTTCTGTTTCCCCCATTAGGTTCTTGAAAGATTTTCTAGGCATCAGGAGAGACTAAAAAAGTCTCCTTCCTCTCCTTTCCTTTCTTGTCAGAGAATTAAGTGAATTCTACGAGAGAGGTAAGGAGAAACTTGGGCTCTTGAGCCATTAATGGTCTTCTACAAACTAGATGGGAATTTATGGCACTGTTGTGTATTCTCAACCTGTTACATACTTGACTTCCCACTCCAGTGCCCTATCACTTGGTCAAGGATCAAATGGGACAATCTTATGGAGGATGAACTGCCTGGTTTTTCTACTGTCCATCAAACCCTGAGCCCTTCCCTGGCAGGAAGACACCCTTTCTCTTGTCCCTGCAGCCCCAGCAACTGCTCTCTATATCCTCTCTGCAAACAGGGGTGCTAATTAATGTTTACCAAGACCTCAATCTCTCCTCTTCAATTTTGATTGGAAGCATTTGCTACACAACAGTATGAATTTCAAGTGTGATGTTCCTGAATGGGGAGATGCAGAATAGCTGGCCATTTAGTGTCTCCATTTATTTCCACCTCCCTCTGTTATCTTTTCTGGAGCTGTGAAATCTTAGGGGAAGGTTGGCTCAAGACCATAGACAATAATCAAATGACTAGGAAGTGATGGGTTTGGGGTATTTATCAATTTTGCTTTAAAATATAAATTATTTAATTGCAAGTTTATGTATTTTATTAATAATGACCATGTTTAACAGCTGACTAGAAAAATGCCTGAACATTTAGTGGTCTGTACTAGCTATTCAGCACACCACTGCCCCCAGGGCAGACCTTGGGCCTGGGTTCCACACGGGCTCTCCTTGTTTCTTGGAAGTTGCTCTTCTGACAATACGATATTTATAGGGGTGTGTGTAGCGGGTAAGGGGATTCTGGGTCTTTCAGGGTACTCTGTACTTAAGAAACAGCAGAGACTTTGCAACAGAAGGAATGAGGTGGGTCTGGGAGAGAGGTCAGTGGTGTCTTCATTCTTAATTCCTAAACCCAGCTGCCTTGAGGTTTATAAAGGCTAAAATTGGAGGATGCACAGATGTCCACCAGCGACAGAAGTAACTGATGTTACTGGCACGGGGTATAACCTAGGGCAAAATGCGAATCGAGACACCAGCACTGGTTTCCCTGGCCAGCCCACGCCTCCGCCTCAGCTAAACGCCACTCCCTCCCCGCCAAATGGCTCTCAGCTCTGGAGGCGGGACCGAGTTCTTCGGTGGCCCCTGGAGGCCCGGGGCTGCGAGCTCTGGGAGGCTGGGAGGGTTGAGAGGGGAGGGGCGCTGACTGGGCAGTCCAGAGAGGAGGGGGCCTTTAATAGGCTCGCCCAAAGCCTGGTTCGCTGCGCTGCGAGTGGCTGCTGTTGCGAGAAGCAGCCCGACACCTCCCGCCAGTTCTCCGCTGCAAATTTTCGTCCTTGCACTTGACAGCGATTGTACTTAAGCTCCCAGGGCGCTCTTTGCTGTAAGGCACAGGTAGGAGGCGCAGGCTGCCGGGTGCACCCTAGCTGTTCTGGGAGGAGTCTCCCTGCCTTGGTTGGCTCTCCTTTCAGGGAGCTGCTGGCTGTCCCAAAGCGTTGGTGGTTTTGGTGTGTAGGCTGCAAAGAGACCGTGCAGGCGGCGGGGAAGTCGGGCCGAGCCCCTTTCTAGAGTACGTCTGTGCGCTGCTCGGCGCCATGCTTTTGCTGGGCATCTTAACCTTGGTTTTCGCCGGGCGACCTGCTGGCAGCTCCGAGCCAGAACGGGAGGTGGTCGTTCCCATCCGACTGGACCCGGACATCAACGGCCGCCACTACTACCGGCCGGGCCCCGAGGACTCCGGGGAGCAGGGACTGATTTTTCAGATCACAGCATTTCAGGAGGACTTTTATCTACACCTGACGCCGGATGCTCAGTTTCTGGCTCCCTCGTTCGCCACTGAGTATCTGGGCGTCCCCCTCCAGGGGCTCACCGGCAGCTCTCTAGACCTGCGACGCTGCTTCTACTCCGGGAACGTGAACGCCGAACCAGATTCGTTTGCCGCTGTTAGCCTGTGCGGGGGGCTACGTGGAGCCTTCGGCTACCGAGGGGCCGAGTATATCATTAGCCCGCTGCCCAATGCCAGCGCGCCGGCGGCGCAGCGCAACAGCCAGGGCGCACACCTTCTCCAGCGTCGGAGTGCCCCCGGCGGGCTTTCCGGAGACCCCACCTCTCGCTGTGGGGTGGCATCGGGCTGGAACCCCGCCATCCTTCGGGCCTTGGACCCTTACAAGCCGCGGTGGACAGGCTTGGGGGAGAGTCACAGCCCGCGCAGGTCCGGGCGCGCCAAGCGCTTCGTGTCTATCCCACGCTACGTGGAGACGCTGGTTGTGGCGGACGAGTCAATGGTCAAGTTCCACGGCGCGGACTTGGAGCATTATCTGCTGACGCTGCTGGCCACCGCGGCGCGACTCTACCGCCATCCCAGCATTCTGAACCCCATCAACATCGTTGTAGTCAAGGTGCTGCTTCTTGGAGACCGTGACACCGGGCCCAAGGTCACCGGCAATGCAGCCCTGACTCTGCGCAACTTCTGCGCCTGGCAGAAGAAGCTGAACAAAGTAAGCGACAAGCACCCCGAGTACTGGGATACCGCCATCCTCTTCACCAGGCAGGTGAGTCAATCTGTCACCTCTTTGGAACCAGTTAGCCCTATTCTCTTAGGGTTACCGCCTTTAGCTCTCCAAATCCCCTTTGTGCTGTGCAGTACCCCCAAATTTGAATTCCGTTTATCTCTTCCGACTCCAACTTTGAAACTTCCAGGAAGAGCCCTCTCCTAGGCTCTGCAGAGGTCCTGCTCTCGTGCTTCAGGGCGGTTGGAGGAAAGCCTGCTTTTTCCGAAGGTGTTGGCCTGACGCGGCCAATCAGCGTCTCCCGGATCAATCGCTGAGGGGCTGGAACCCAGGAAGTTGCCGCCCCGGAGCCGCAGTTTGTTTTCAAAGCCGATAGGAGGCGCTTTGAGGATGGCGCTGGAGAGGGCGGGAAAGCCCGCCAGTCTTGTATAGGGCATCTAAGTTCTCTCCGACACCACCTCAGAGGGTTCCTTTCCCTGGCTGTAGAACTGGAAGATGATCCAAGGTCAGCGTCTGCTACATTTCTCGCGGGTAACATGTTATCCTCTCTCTGTCCTGGGCCAGGAAAACCTGGATTGGGACGAAGGGCATCACTGGCTTATTTTATGGGTTGCAGAAAAAGGTCTGACTCAAGTAGGTAGTGCCAGGAGCATCCCTTCTTCATTGCTGCTTCTTCCATATCCTTCTCTGCTGGACCTTGTTGAGGGCTTGCAGTTCATTCTGAGCAGGCATTTTAGTAGGGCACTTGTTTGAGGCTGGGAGTGTTTCACTTGGAGTTTCACTTGGAGCTGAGCTAGGAAAACGGCTTATTAGCAGAGGGTGACCCATTTGCCCAGCTGGATGCTGTGGAGGAGAGCAGAAAGGATCGCTCAGGTACTCAGCTTCGGAACTCACTAAAATTCCTAGGACTGCACTTGAGTGCAGGACTCTAACAGCTTCTGCCTTATTGCAGTGGAAGTGATATGAGCTTAGTCAAGGGACTCCAGCTGTAGGGTTGGAAAGATACTGAGTATTGGGATTAGAAATATGGACCCAGACCAGGAAAGCAGCTCTGCCTTTTTCAGGTCTTTACCTGATATTCTATCTCAAAGAAGCTATGAATCTGTGAACATTTAGATTCATAGGCGTTGACATGCTTGGGCACTGTAAAGTTTTGGGATTATTGAAATTTCTTAAATACAGGAGGCTGGGAGGAAAAGGACCAACCAAATGACCTGCATCTTCTGATTTTGGGGGCTGTAACTTGAATCTGTGCCTCGCTCTTGTTTTGTCATTATCATAACCACAGCATTCTGGCGATGGCACAGAATCCTTGGTTACCTCTGGGGCTCTTGCTCTTTACTGTTTCCAAATGGCCACTCAAAGCTGGTCTGGCGCCCACGGGCTGGAGCTGGAGTCTTCCACAGTAACCCATTTGGCAGAGCTAAGGCCCTTCCTGGAGATGAACTTCCTACTTTCCCAGCCTTCTTCTCCTCCCACCACCTGGTTTCTCTAGGGAGGTCTTTGGCCTGGAGTCTTGTTTCCTTGTGCTCATTCTTCCAACTGAGGTCTGTTGAGCTGCCACTGCCCAGCCCCTGCAAGTACTGCCTGAGTCATGGGGAAACTGCAAAGGAGATGGCTTCGGCTTCTGCATACAGACCAGTTCTGCAGTCAGATTTTTGGGAGGAAAGAAAGCAAAGGCCAAGAACAGGCTATCTTAATGGGGAAAGCATCTGTTGCCCCATCCGCTATCCAGGATGCCACTGTGGAGGTCACTCACAGCCTCTAAATTAATAGACCTCAATCTCCTCTTAGTGATTAAGGCTGACTTTTGGAACCAGCCCCAGGAAGAGAAGTCCTGCTGGGAATCTGGGCCATGCCATCAGAAGAATCGAGCCTTTTGAAGGAGAAGCTATCAAACAGCATGACAGCTTCTGTTTTTCAGTGGTGTGCTAGACCCCCAGGGGGCTATGTTGTCTGTGCATAATGGGTACAAGATGCATGACCACTTGGGTCAGAAGCAGTGATGTGCAACATGTGACTTTTGGAAGCTGTTTTCCCATTAGGCGTCTAGAGGGCAAAGCCAGAGAGCGGGGAGGCTGTGTTGGCAGGTCCATTATCAAGGTATGTGTGTTATGCTTTGGGGTAAACATCTCTCCCCACCTCCTCTCCAGCACAGACTTTAGGGCCTGCTGCATTCTCAGAGTCTTAGCAACTTCTCATTCTTGAATTCCCCAGGGATAGGTACAGTATTGGATGAGAACATGAGCATACAGCTGCTCTTTCTAGACTAAGGCAGATGTGGTTCCTTCCAGGATCCTTAACTGTCTGGAAGGGAGAGTACACTGATCATTCAACAAGCATTTTGACAATTTGAGGAGTAAAGATTCAGAGAAAGTTCATGGAGAAAGGACGCACATCTGATTTTGCAGAGCAGTCAGCTTCCAGGCTCATAACAATGGGATGAGGTCAGCCCAGGACTGGAACGAGGATCTGCCGAGAATTAGAGCCAGAGTCTTTCTCATTTGTTTCTGTGAGGAGAAGTTTCTTTGGCTTCTTGTTACACCCTGCAGCAGGTGCCAGGTATTTACTATTGAGACTTCTCTATCTTTAGGTTCAATTGCTCTGCTATTTTGGTAATCCTTTGTGGTATAATGGTTTCCATTCATTTATTTGTGCATTCTCTTAGTACTGATTGAGCATCTGCAAATAGCAGATACTACCCTGGGTTGTGGAGCTACACATATTAATAAGGTGTGGCCTAGGACCCCCAGGAATTAAATGTGTGGCATGAGGCAGCTAATTACAATAGGGTGTGCTAAGTGCCAGGACAGAGAATCCAGCCTTCCCTGTGGGAAGCTGCATGGGGGGACATTTTCCTACCCATGAGCTAAGGATACTCTTCAAGGGGCTAGGCTGCAGGAAAAGCAACAGAACTGGGAGGTTGTGGGAATTGGGAGGAAGCTTGTTTTCTATGTTGTAGGATACCCTCTACTCTCTTCTATATCCATTTTACTATAATTTGTGACATTTCCTTTTTTGAGATGATTTCATTTCCATTTAAATTTAAAATTTAAAAATATTTTTTCTTTTTAAAAATTATATTGGTATGTTAAAATTAAACATATAGTGAGATTTGTTGTTGCATATTTGTACATATACAATATAACCATATAATTTAGCCAATATAATTTCTCAGTATTTCTCCTTTCCCTTCCTTTTGCCCCATTCTCTTTTCTCTATTCTACTGATCTCCTCTTTGATTTTCATGAGAGCCACCCATCCCTTCTTTTCCTTTTCAGCTTCCACATAAGAAAGAAAACAAATGAACTTTGGCCTTCTGATTTTGGCTTATTTTGCTTAACATAATGCTCTCAAGTTCCATCCGTTTTCCTGCAAATGACATAATTTCATTCATCTTTATGGCTGTCATTTTCATTTATTTTTGAAAATGATTTGCAATTTATGGTTTTTCTGCCTGCTTACTGTCATTTCTTTTCTTTTTTTTTCTGTTATGCTTACCTTTCCTTCTTTCTCTTTTGAGATTATCATGAGGGCTTTTCCTCTGAGTTTCTTCATTCATACTCTGACTAGTCCCCTCACAATCTCAAGCTTGGAACAGATCTTGTGTTGGCCTTGAGAAATCCCAATGTGTTATAGAGGGATGTTCTATATGGTGCAGAGCAGAATAGCATTCTGAAACCTCATATAAAATAGAGGTCAGAGCTTTCTTTTTTTAAAAAAATTTTTTTTCAGATGTTGATGGACCTTTATTTTATTCATTTATTTATATACGGTGCTGAGATTTGAACATAGTGCCTTACATGTGCTATAAGAACTCTACCACTGAGCCACAACCCCAGCCCAACAGTGCTTTTTAAAATAAGGCACATGCAATAGGGTGGGGCATTTAAAATTCAGATTAAAAAATACGAGTACTAAAATGATGATTTGCAGGATGATAAAGAAGAATCCAGCAAATGACACATTTAATTTTTCTTTATGGTTGAATAGAAAACCATTGTGTATATATAACTCATTTTCTTTATCCATTCTGTTGATGGGTACCTAGGCTGCTTCCAAAACTTGGCTTTTGTGGATTGTGTTGTTGGTAAATGTATGGAACTGGAGAACATCATGATAAGTGAATCAAACCAGACTCAGAAAGTCAAGGCCCAAATTTCTCTCATACATGAAAGCTAGAGAGAAAAAAGGAGTAAAAAAGGGGATCATGTGGAAATAAAAGATCAGTAGAGAAGAATCAGGGACCAAGGGAGAAGAAGGTGTTAAGGAGAGGGGAACAACTGGGGAATGAAGTTGACCAAATTATGCTATGTTCATGTTTGGATACATCACAACGAATTTCATTTTCATGTATAACTATAATAAACCGATTAAAAATAAACAAATAAGTAGAATGAAGACCAGTAGAGTGGAGGAAGGGAGTCAGTAGAGGAAGGAGGGGAGGTAAAGAAGAAGTACTGGGAATTGAAATGGAAAAAAAAAATCATGATTTCATCAGGATTTTTTAAAAGTCAGGCCTTGGAAGATATTAGAAGAGAGGTCCCTCTGAAGATTTGGTATTTAATAATATGTCATTCTTGGGCATTCATGGAAATGCACCATCACTCCTGGGAGGGAGAGAGAAAGGGAAAAAGAGAGGAATGAATAGAATATGATTATTCCCGTCTTGTAGGGTGAGTACTGTCTTCATCCTTTCCCTACACCAAATAAGTAAGCCTTATATTAACAGCAGAAGATAAGAAGAGTTGGAGGGAATCTTTTTTTTTTTTTTGGAGTTGTCCAGATCAGACTCAAGTCCCTAGACTCGAGGGTTATCCTTCCTCAGCCACCTGAGTAGCAGGGACTACAAGAACATGCCACCTTGCCTGGCTTCTTTCTTTCTTTGTAAACTGCTGGTTCAATTAAAAAGTCAAGTGAGATTTTCTTCTTAGGTCTTGTTCTCTACCTTCCTTTGAACTTCTCTGTGGTTGTTTGTTTGTCTTTCCCTCCCTTTCTTGGCACCCCCCCCCCCGCCCCCCCCCCCGTCTTGTCTTGTCACC